AGTGAAAAATCTAAACAAATGAAGAAAAATCAAAGGAAGAATATGGGTCTCTCACAAACCCCTGTGACTTTAGACACTGAAAAAACAGACTTCTGAATGCAAATAATGAAGAGACCCAGAAGAGTGGTCTCAAATTACAAACCCAGATATCAAGACATTAATAAAGAGAATTAGCCAGGCTCGGTGGCTTAGCCTGTAATTCTGTGCCTTTGGGAGGCTGAGGTGAGTGGATTCCCTGAGCCTGTGAGTTCAAGACCCACCTCAGCAACTTGGCGAGACCTCATCTCTATAATAAATCAAAATGAGCCAGGTGTGGTAGAGCATGCCTGTAATTCCAGCTATTCGGAAGGCTGAGGCAGAAGGATTGCCGGAGCCCTGCAGGTCGAGGCTGTGGTGGCCGGGAGTGGCCATTGCACTCCAGTCTGGGTGACAGAGTGAGGCTTCAGCTTTAAATAAATAAATAAATAGAATTGAGGAGAGACATGAGGAAAATACGAAGGATTTGATAACTGAGATAAAAATAGTAAAGAACACTGTGATTAAAATAAATACCAAACTGATAAGCATGGAAAGCAGAATTAGCCAAGCAGAAGAAATAATCTCAGAGCTTGAGTATCAAAACATAGAACTAAACCAAACTGTCAAAAGCAAAAAACTTAAAAAGAAAGAACAAAACCATCAAGAGATGAGCGATTATTTCAACAGACTGAACCTAAGAGTAATTGGACTTTCTGAGGCAGAAAGAGAGACAGAGACCACCCTGAAACAAACATTCTATGAAATTATTCAATAAAACTTCCCTCATCTCATCAGTGATGCAACAATTCAAACACAAGAGATTCAGAGAACTCCTGCAAGACAACAAATAAGAAGACCAACTCCCAGTCACATAGTAATTCGCCTAAACAAAGTAGGTATAAAAGAAAAAATCATAAAGGCAGCAAGAGAAAAATGTCAGATTACCTACCATGGAAGACCAGTTAGAATAGCAACGGATTTATCTACAGAAACACTTCAGGCTAGGAGAGCTTGGAGTCCTATTTTCAAAGTTCTAAAAAATATACAATTTCAACCAAGAATAACCCACTCAGCCAAGCTAAGCTTTATCAGTAAGGGAGAATTGAAATCTTTCCCAGATATCCAATCCCTAAGAACTTACACTGCCACCAGACCACCTCTACAAGAAACAATTAAGAAAGTATTACATACAGAAGAAAAGGAAAAAATTACAACAACGTTCTTCACAAGAGTACAGGAAAAAGATTAAAACCATACATGAACCAACCAAAAAATCAAAAGAAAGACAAAAAAAAAGAAAAGAAAAACAGGAACAACAACAACTCTATATGAACCTCATGATAGGGATGAACTCTCACATTTCAATAATTAGCCTGAATGTGAATGGACTAAATGCGCCACTGAAAAGACATAGAAAGGCAAATGGATAAAATATCACCAGCA